CTGAGATAGATAGATAGATGATAGATAGATAGATAGAAAGAAAGAAAGAAAGAAAGAAAGAGAAAGAAAGAAAGAAAGAAAGAGAAATACAGTAGATAGGTAGGTAGGGAGAGAGTAGGTAGGTAGGTAGATATTTCCACATGTATTTATCCATGTGCTGGAGAAGAAAATCACTGACAAACCTTAAGACTTTGTTTTTGCTGGCACAGCACTTGATAAATGTAATTCTCATCAGTTAAAAAGCTTTCCAAAAGGAAAAATAAAATAAATAAAAGGCATGAATAGCTTTGGGTGGGCTTGTAGAGTGCTCCTGATGGGGTCAAAAAAGAGCAAAAAACGGCCCGTTTTTCACAAAAACGGGCCTGTTTTTTGTCAAACAAATTGCATGCATAGCCTTTAGGAGGCTTATAGAGTACTCCGGGAGGGGGGCAGAAAATGGCCCATTTTTTGCTCATTTCTGCCCTCCCCAGCCCCAAGGAGCTCTCTGAAAGCCTCCATAAGGGTATCCACAGCCATTTTGGTGAAGGGGCGGGGCTTCTGGAGACAAAAGTGCTGTATTCGATGTATAAGATGCACCCAGATTTTCAGCCTCTTTTTTTGAGGAAAAAAAGGTGCATCTTATACTCTAAAACATACGGTACTTCTAGAAAAACTTTAGTGTCTGAATGTTTATTTTTTCAAGCTTGCAATTTAATGTTCCAGGTAGTAAAATACTTATCCATCAATTTTTAATGTTCAAAAAACGGTGAACTAATATTAGTTTGCTTTGTCTCCAAGCTTGTATAATTTTTGTAAAATGTTTATGTCCGTTTTCAGTTCTATTGCATATTACTCCTTTTACAAGCAGAAAGAATAATATGCAGTAAGAGCATATTGTTATTTGCTACCATGTGGTTTGATATTTATACAGGTGTTTATAATCAGGGTCTAGAATTATTTGCTTTATGCTATGTAGCTATCAAACAAAATTGAAAATCACTGAGCCCGACAAACCAATGTTAATCATTATGCCCATGGAAAGTCTTAAAAACAGAATTCTAATATGAGGACTTCTTCATTCACTTATTAAAATGGCGGAAAATGACAGTAAAAGATACTTAAAGTAAATATTTCTAAATTGTATTATAAAATCAATAAATTCTAAAGCGTGTGCTAAAATAAAAATACAGATGTATTGCTGAAATAGATTTTTAAAATGTTATAGCATTAAATGTTTCTCCTGCTGAAAGCATTCAACCTTGCTTCTTTGCTATAGTGGGTAGCTGAGGCTATATGTAGAATGATGTGGGGGCTCTCTCAAACTTTGCCTCAAAGAAGGCTTGGAGTCTTTATCTGCTGGCACTGCCTTCTGCTTTGGATACTGTCTTGTTGTGATCTCTTTTCCAGCAGGATACCAAACAAACTTTTCATCTGCCTAATCTTCCTGTGAGAGATATAGCACTCTCATATCCGCTGGTGTCCTTCTGGGGATTCCCCGGTCACCTCAGGGCTTCTCGGTCCCTTAATAGGATCAGCTGAGCCGCTCCATTCACAAAACAGCTGATTCACGGGTCAGTCCTCTGCCTCCAGCAAGCGCCAGTCGCTTTTGCAGCCAATTGCAGCTGCAAAAGAGGCTGGTGGCCAAGCAACACAACCCACAACCCACACGCCTCATGTCCTCCTTACCTAATGGTGACAGTCACAGCAGACAATTCCATCCACGGAACAGGAAAAGAAGGCATGGAAAATGTGGAGGGGGTATTTTGTCTCTTATTCTGTTCGCAGTCTGTTCTGACCTTCAGAACAGGGTGAGAGTCAGGAATATCCTCCTTCACATTTTCAAGCCGTTTGCAGAAACATCCCATTTCAAGCCTTCAATGTGAATATGCAGGTGAGAAGCGACTTCCTGTAGGCATGGAAATCCATATACTTGGGACATCAGAAGAAGCCCTGCGAGGAGACGCCGCTCCCAAAGTGCAGGGAATCTCCCACCAGTACCTCCTGCAGATCGTCCTTTCAAAAGAGGAGTTTCACCAGGATGAAGGAGACATAACCCCTTCAGCCACCTCTTCGCTGTGCCCAGCTGAAGAAGGGGGGGGGGGTTGTTGGGAAGCTGTTCTTGGTGGGGGTTTTTTTCCGGCTTTCAAAGCATGGAGGACGGATGCCGCTCTGGAAGTACGCTCTATGGTAGCGTATAACCATAGAGCGTACTCCCAGAGCGGTATCATACCTCTGGGCTTTGGAAGCCGCAACGGAGGACAGATGCTGCTCTGGGAGTATGCTCTATGGTTGTATGCTCTGCAGCCCACAACCATAGAGCGTACTCCTAGAGCGGCATCTATCCTCCGTGCTTTGAAAAGCCCCCCCCCCCAAAAAAAAACCGAAGCGGCGGGCGGCGCCAGCAGCAGAGATGCCCTGGCTCTGCAGGTGCTGTAGAGTTAGCCAAGGGCATCGTGAGCCTGGGAATCGCATGAGCGGGGAGCAGAAAAGCCGCTTGCACAACCCCCCTCTCCAGCCATGCATAGCCCCATTCACTCACCTAGGGGCATTCCGAAGGCACCGAGCCACGGGAGGTGGAGGGTGGTGAACAGGCGCTCGCGTGGCTTGGTGCCTTCTGGGTACCGCTAGGTCGGTCAGTGGTGCTGGCTGGAAAGAGGGGTTGCCACGTGGCTGCTCGCAAGCGTGGACACCTCATGACTGCTGTGTTGCTCCTGCGACAGCGCAACACAGCCATTTAACCCTGAGGCTGTGCCCGGCTCTTCAGGAGCCTGGTCGCAAGGGAGCAGCCGCCCGGCAACCCCCCAAAAATAAGACCTCCCCTTTAATAATCCCAAGGCCATATTTTGTGGGTCAAAAAAAATCTAAGACCCTGTCATATTTTCGGGGAAACACGGTAGTAACATGGACATTTATACATTTTGGTTTTTTATATATATATTTATACATGTTTATTCATGAATATGTCCTATTCTGCCTTATTATAATGGTTTTTAATGTAAAATGGTTATTATAGCAGCAAGTTTATCTTAACATACATCAAACTAAATTGAACGTTTGTGTCATTGCTTTTAGTGCATGCAGGAGATGGGGAATACCAAGGCAAGATTACTTTATGAAGCTAATTTACCAGAGAACTTTCGAAGACCTCAAACAGATCAGTATCCTTTTTTGCATTTCCCCTTTTCAGGGAAATTGGAGTAGTTATATATGATGACAATGTTAAAATGGATGTATGCATAATGCACAATGGCGAAATATAAATGACAAGATTCTCAAAGGTGTAAAACTAATTTTTTAAAAAGAACTTAGGAGACTGTTTAAACTTAAAACACTATTTCTATTTTAGTTTGATAAAGATACTATTTACTTCAAGAATACAGAAGACAGGAAAAGGTGTTTTATTGCTTAAGTATAAAGCTACTAAAGATGTCTGTGCAACATCTGGACTACTTAAAATAAAGAGAAAAAATTAGCATATTAGTAGCACATCAGAACTTAACCATGGTGCTGGATTTTTGAAATAGAAAGTTTGGAAATTTGAGTCTCATGATGCAGAAAAAATGATATTGAGGAAATTGGTTAAACTCAAACTAAATTTGTCTTTATTTGAGCCCCTTGATGAGAAATGGTAAAATAATAGTTTTACAAAGTATATAGTGCAAGTGTGGTGCACCCCCCCTCTCTCCCCCCTCACCTTCTGTGTGTGCGTGTGTGTGTAAGAGAGAGAGGGGGGGGGGAGAATGAATATAAAATACCAATTTTTAAAATTCAGTCTGAATAGAAACATTGGAGAAAATATGATGTAGTATTTGTCTTATGTATCAAGATGATTATATTAAGGTTATAAAAGTATTAAAAGTTGCTTTTACAATGGAAAAGAACATTCTAGAATGCTAATGAAAATTCAATAGACATCCTAAATTTGAAGCAGTTCAGTTCTGGCTTTAGAAATATTATATAAAATTAGTTTCTGCACTGAAAACGTCTGTAGTTTTATGCTGGTGTGTGTGTGTGTGTGTGTGTGCGCACGTGCGCATGCGCGTGCATGGACATATGCATCCCTTTTTTTGTTTTCTTTTGTCTTTTCCTTAAACTAACTTATTCAGAGCTGTGGAGTTTTTTATCAGGGATAAATATGAGAAGAAAAAATACTATGACAAAAATGCAACTCATGTCACCAGTGTAAGTAAATATTACTGAATTACTCCAAAACACATGAAAACATAATTATATAATTCATATTATTCATACTATACCATACATACACGCACATACAGAGTATATGTACATATCAATATCTAAGAAGAGATATTAAATATATACCAGAGCTGTAATCCCATGATAAGAGAAACAGATTTTAGTATAGCACTTATCTCTCTTTCTAGTAACAGTATGCTTGGTATTACTTGTATAGAACATTAAATAACTTGATGGATATTTGCTTAATTCAGTGAGAACATTCACCTCTAAATATACAGGATTATATATTTTCAAATATGAACACTGTTTCTGAGTGCTGAGCATTGTTTTTTTTACTTTTGTTAGATAGTTTATAGAGTCTGCAATAGGATCTATCTCTAAATATTAATCCTTAAGGAAAATATATCAGGTACTTATATTAGTTTCAGGGCTATAAGAAGAGTGGAAAAATCTGGAATAGGGTATAGCAATAGGATAGGGTATGGAAACACAATGCAGAAGAACGACAAGATAGATGTGCTGTTGCTAATGCAAAACGAAAGAAATGTTTCAATCAATTCATAGTGAAAATAGATAATTTATCAGAGAAAATCAAAAGGAAATTAGTTAACAAGCAACTTGTCAAAATTGTATGACTGAAGGGAAATGGGAATTGAAAGTTTGTCACGCCCATTGCTGCTGAAAGGAATTTAAGGATGTGAAATAATTGGCTTTAACAAGAATTGCTTCATGTCAAAATAAATGTTCGTCTAGTTCCTAATTTTGTCTCTTATTAACCAATCAAAATCACAGTTGAGGTTGGTACCCCCTGTTGTTACTAGGGTTATAAGCTTTGGTTTAACATCAACAGTGAAAAAGATTACAGGTAGTCTTTAACTTATGATCACAGCTGAGCCCAACATGTCTGTTGTTAAGCAAGATAGTTATGGGACTTTTGCCCCCTTTTACAACCTCCCCCCCCCCAATTGTTAAGTGAATCTCTGTGTTTGTTTAGTAACAAGGTTAAGTGAATCTGGCTTCCCCATTGAATTTGCTGGTCAGAAGGTGATCACATGACTCCGGGACACAGTAACTCATAAACATGAACCAGTTGCCAACATCTGAATTTTGATCACATGTTCATGGGGAAGCTGCAAAAGACATAACTCTGAAAAACGCTCATAAATCACTTTTTTTCAGTGCCATTATAATTTTGAATGGTCCCTGAACAAATTGGATTGGATTGGATTTATTCGATTTGTATGCCGCCCTATTCCCAGAGGGACTCAGGGCGGCTGAACAAAAGCCAAGGGGAGGGGAACAAATACAAAAAGTAAGACAAAAACAAGACAACAATACAAAACAATTTAAAAACACAACAAGCACAATCAAATTCGAGAAGGGGTGGGACTCAAGACCCCCAGGCCTGCTGGGACAGCCAGGACTTAACGGCTATACGGAAGGCCAAGGTGGCGCAGCGGTTAAATGCAGCACTG